CTAATGCCTTTTTACTTGCCACTGTTGGAGACAAGATACTGGACTAAACAGACCTTAACTCTGTCTCTGAATGGTGCTTCTCATGTTCTTATGTTCTCTGTATTGACATGGTCACTTACTTGAAATATTTCCACCATCTTGCCTGCCAAAGTTTCCTTCATAAAGTTCCAAAAAGGAGAGAGAGGGGTGGAGTAAGCCCTGCCCCCTTCTCATAATTTCATTCATCACTGATCCTCTTCCACTGTTTGAGCCATGTTTTAAACAGTCCATAGGCAGCCTCAATAGCACTTTATGGTTGGGCTAACTCAGTGCTTCTGACTCCTTTTCTTGCCCCTTTACCATTTCTTGTTATAGGATATAAACTTTTACCTACTTCCTACAGTTGAGATCATGACTGGGCAGATCTGTTGGCCTGATTGTTACAATTAGCCATGCATGCAGGAGACACTGAGGCCTTCCCACTCAACGTGACCACTCTGTGTCGCTCTCATACTGCTCTTGTTCTTAGATTCTGCTGGCTAGAGATTGTCAGACTTACCCATTTGTATTTCGGAAGTGAATGAGACCACATGAATTATTTATGATTTGCTGTATTTACTGGTCTTTTGTATATCTAAGAATGAAAGTTTTGGTCATTTAGGACCTGCCACCAGGAACAGAGGATCAGACTGTATAGCTAATGTACCATTTCACTTCACAGTATGCCTTAAGTGATACATCATTAGTACCTGAAAATGTCTTATTCAATGAAAAACAATGAGTCTTTTGTGTAACTCTATCACCTACATATTGTAATATACTGCTTTGTAAAGATTGACTCAATGAGAGGGTTATATAGCAAAGAATTTGGATACCCTGGTAGTGAGTTTTAATGCAGCTGAATTTGACATCATCATTGTCCTTAGATTTATATGGATAGACAAGGCACTTTACGAGGTAAAGGACATCTTGGGAATGTGTTACTTAAAAGTGTTCTTGATTCATGCTCTAGAGACAGTCTTGTATTCTCACTAATAGGATACAATTTTCATTTAACTGACACTTACAGGTGCATTTCTTCCCCTTTTAGTGCATTTTCCCTTCACAGCTGGTTACATTGATATAACCACTACATGGGTAGTGTCTGTAGAAGCTCCTGGCAGATAATTTCTGTTGTTTTGATATTTGATTTTTCAGTCCCTCCATTCTCCCTGTCCTTCTCCCTAAGGTGTGTCTGGACCTTTATGCTTTTTTATTAAAACCTTTCATCTGAGAAATGTACTGAAAAGTGAAAAGACCCGTTTCAAGTCTATACATTGGCTGCTCATAGTTGGGGGGTTTTCTGTCCAGGCATTCATAGCTTTGGACTGAAGGCTTTCAAATTCCCAGAGGTTTGTACAAATCATTCTTTGTTTTTTGATGCATGAGTTACTTGATACTGGAGAATACATAAATGTACTACATCTGTTGAGTTTGCAATCCCTGAATTGTGTAGTGATTAAGATTTTCAGAAACACTCAGGAGCAGACTTCTGAAGGGATTTTTGAACCTTAAAGATTTCATTTAATTGACTTCATAGACATTCAGGCTGGAAGGGACCCCAGAGGACCAGGTAGTCCAGCCCCCTGCCCAGGGCCAGGAAGTCAGCAGGGATCTTAGGATCCCAGCAAGATAAACCCCAAAAGTGTCTTGAAGGCATTCAAAGTGGGTGCTTGAATCGCCTCCGGTGGCAGTCTATTCCAAACCTTGGGGGCTTGGACAGTAAAGAAGTTCTTCCTTACGTCTAGCCTGACATGGTCGCAGAGGAGTTTCTGACCATTCGATCTTGTCATCCCTTGGGGCGCTCTGGTGAACAGACTTTCCCCCAGATCCTGATAAGCACCCCTGATAAACTTATAGGTGGCCACCAGATCACCCCTGAGCCTGCGCTTTTCCAGGCTGAAGAGTCCCATGGCTCTCAGCCTCTCTTCATAAGGTCTGTTTTCCTGACCTCTGATCATGCACGTGGCTCTCCTCTGCACCCTCTCAAGGTTCTCCACATCCTTTTTGAATTGTGGAGCCCAAAACTGGACACAGTACTCCAACTGCGGCCTCACCAGAGCCAAGTACAAGGGGAGAATGAGGTTCTGGGATTTGCTTGAGAAGCATCTATGGATGCAAGCCAGCATTTTGCTCTCTTTACTAGCTGCAGCATCACACTGAAGGCTCATGTTCATCTTGCAGTCAATCATGACCCTCAAGTCCCTTTCATCCATAGTGCTAACCAGTGTAGCACTGCTGAGCCTATAACCTTGCATTTTTCAGTGTTAAACACCATCAGGTTCTCGTCCACCCATTTCCTGAGCCTGTCAAGATCTGCCTGGATCACCCTCCTGTCCTTAGGTGTGGGTGCTAAGAATACCAGTGGCCCCATACATGGGTTAAAGGATTATGGCTTGAAGTCAGTTTTAACTGGGCTCTCCCTTGTTGAAGCAGCTGCATTATTAGTCAAAGCAAAAACTACTGAAATGATGAGAAGGTACTAAAATGGGGCCTCACTGGGGAAAGTTCCCCCCCTCCCCCAGCACTACTAGCATCTCTGTCTCCTTACCTCCACTACACATCACTCCACGCCTGCCCTCTTCTTCTCCCCTGATTTGGCCCTCCATCCAACTTTTTCAATTTAATTTTTATTTAGTTTATCTCCTTCTAACTAAACCTACCAAAAAGTGGCATTAACCTGCTATTTTCTGTCATTGTATTGCTGAATCAAATTGTACATTGTATCCTTTCCTCCCAACGTGTATGTCTTATCTCATTAGACTGTAAACTTTTGGAGACACAAGGAGTATCAACATGACATGCTTTACTGTGCATTAGACTAATCTATTGTGCAGTAAAGCATTACCACCTACACATGCACAGGACCTACTGCACAGTAAATTAAGCTAATCTTTTGTTTGCTAGTACCAGGAAATACAGGTACTAAATTAATGTTGCATTGGGTACTGTGCAGTGGTCCATGTATAGATGCTGACTGGGAGCAATTTGTTACCAGTCAGCCCAGGCATCAAGGGCCTGCTGCTGCCTGGATAAGCCCTAATGCAGGGGGGACCTGTGCTGGCTGTAGGGGCAGCTATCTCCCCACTACACTGGGATCAGGACCTATCCCGATCTCCATATGACCAGGAGAGATGTCCTGGCGGCCAGGACTGCTGCATCCCAGGCACATGGACATCAGGTCCCAACCCAATCTCCACATGGCTGAGACAGCTCTCCCCCATGCCCTGAAGATTGGGATCAGCCCCTGTTCCTGGCAGAACCTGGAGCTCCCATAGTTACTGCAGGGGGGACAAGCAGGCTAGGAGGGTCCCTGGAGTGAACTGTTCCCATTGGGAACAAATTTGCACCTGACAGATGCATGTTCATGTGCTTACAGGGTTACAGTTTAATGCCCCTGCCTCCAATCAGAAAATTCTGGCACATTAATTGCATGTGTAGATGTGCCCATAGAGAGCCTGCTACTGTATCTAGCACAAGGGAAATCTATTCTGTTGCATTTTTAGACATAATTGTAATAAATGCAATTACTCTTTCTACCACTAAGAAGTCACAATACTGTGATTTGAGGGTCCGGGGGCACTTAGTTTGGTTTGTTCATTCTTCTTTTTGTCTACCTTCCACAGGAAATTCTCAAACCATCATTTAGCACTAGAACTAATTTGTCCCTTGCCCTTGTATGTGGGATAGAGGTCTAGGGACAGAGTAGGCAAGGCATCTTACTGCAGTTCCAGAGACATAAATTTGATTCATGCTCTGGACTAGTGCTATTGCAACAGCTGCAAATAGGTACCAGGTTGTTGGGGCTGAGAAATCAAAGGTAGTCTGACATGATGCTAGCCACATCATTCCATTGTGTACCATGGGCAAAAGAAACTGGTGGGCCATAAACATATTAGCCAGGTAGACCATCTAGATTTGGACAGGCTTTGTATAGTGGAAGAATTATGGAGCCTTTCAGGTGGCCATCCATCTAAGGAAAAGTCATAGTCAGCTCCAACCCTCCCTGGGATGCAAATTACCCCTAAGTGATCAGGAAGAAGTAGGTCTATACTAAGAAGCCTTTCCCTATTTACCGCCCACCAGGACCTACTGTTTGCAGACAGAGGGGGTTAAGCTATATTTGCTGGAACTCTAGTGAAAGGAGATCCTCACATGGGATTTCACGGCAGCAGTCGATAACTCCAGCAATGTTTCACAGTCGCATGTGTTCCACTTGACCTAACTTGAAGAGAAGCTCAATTAGGCCATGATACAACAGAGCATTTAAGCATATGGTAAGCTGAAAAATCTGTGCAACTCTTCTAAATAAGGGCCTTGGCAGGGCTTATTCAGAACAGAGCTTATGATATACAGTGGAATAGTTCTAATTCTGTCCATTGGCTTTACAGCTTTTGTGGAAGATTTCTCATTTCATATCTTATTAATTGCCGTTAACCACCATTAATCACAAAACAATCTGAACTAGGATTGCAAAGGAACTTTGCACTTTTAACTCTTTAGATGCAATATTTCTGGCAGCACCAATCATAGTTTTGGCCACATTGGTGAATAACATCTGTACCATACCAAAAATGCTTTTAGAGTAGGCTGTCAAGGAATTCAAACACTGAAAGCCATACATTTTCACTTGTTGCATAAACCTAATACCTGGGTACAAGCTCATGGACTTTCCTGTGCCTGTGTTCAAAGGCACCCAAAATCCATATTTTGGGTTTTACTGTTTTTATTATATTATGCTACTGGCATCATGGTGCATCGGTGTACTCAGGATAAATGCATGTAACCTTCTTTAATGAGATTATTTATGTTCAGGTTTGACTCTCACATTACATGAGGGCAAGCAGGTACCTATTCAAAGATACATAATCTGGAAGAGTTCTGGTTAAGAAAGTTTGCACATGTGTATGCACATGCCCAAAGTTGTAAAGCAAGTTAGGAGACAATGTGGTGCTCATTTGCATATAACTATCCACAGTGCCTTGTCAGTCTTGTAGTCATTGTCAAATGATGCATTAATTTGGGGGACATGTGGAGAGGACCTGAATATTTTTGCATGTATTGAGTTATTTTCTGTCATTTGAAGCAAAAAAAGCTTCCGGTTCTTCAGACACCTAATTAGGAACAGAGTTGGGTTTCTCTTCAGTGTATTTCAGTTGTAGTGCTAGCAGTCTTTCATTCTTGGTCCCAATTAAATCATCAGGTTCAGTAGTGGCTCCATTTCTATAATCACAGGAATGCTATCAACTTGTGTGTTCAAAATAAGGCCACTACATCTGATAGATAACCTTTTGAAAAAGCAATTACTTTACAATTAAAGTGCTATTTATTATAGCAAATTAATAATTCATATTTTAAGCCCCACACAAAGATGACAATCTGCACCAGTATTTTATTAACTTTTGTTTGGCTATTACATTTAGAAAGCTACATTTTGAGATTCTTTTGGGATTTGTGAGTGTCTATCCCTGCATATTCTTTGAGAAGTTTCATCTCCAGTGAGACACCAGCTGGTTAGACATGATTGAGTTTGTTTCTGTAAAGATCACGTGGCATGCATATGAATATCTTTGACTCAAACAGGTAAAAGAAAACTTGGTGATTTCATTGGGCATTAGGTGTCTCTGTCTTTCTCTGGCTCTGTCACTGGTCCTTATAGTCAAGCAATACTTCAAAATGTTTAATTGTTAAAAGATTCAGAGGAAGAAACAAAAATCACAAGCTACTTACCTTTTAATGTTTGTTTTTGGAGGCAATGGCATGCGATAGCTGAGTGGGGTCTGGTTTGTCATGCATCCTGCTATTGATATCCTTGAGATAAAAAAAACAGAATAAACAGACAAATAAAACAAAGCATAGTAGGGAGAAGAAATCCTTCCAGAGGAAAAGGAATTCTAACCCTTGCATTCTCAACTAATCTAGAAGTTAGCAACCTGCACAGAGAATTTTTTCCTATGCCCCCAATTTTTTTCTGAGTATTCATTAAATAATGCTACTTGAAGAGATGCTAAATCTAGTAACCGTGGGCATGTGTGACTTTGGAGCATTAATTGCGTGAACACCAGCTTAAACGATTTTTGAGCATTAGGACTCAGACGCCAGCAGTGCTGTTTAGACACTTCTGGGTGTGAACTGAAACTAAGAAAGTGCACATATAAAATTACCTGCTAAGAATAGCTATGCTGTGTCAGATGTTAAATGAACCAAGAGAGGTGGTCATGGATATCCATATATATATCTTGTTATGCCACAAAAATCACTCTGGCATTGGAATGCCTTCTCTGTGCAGTTTTCTCTTTCCTCTCCATAGTGACTTTTTCCCCAGGCATATATAACTGCATGAGTGTTTAAAACTAAATATGTTTAATGGGACTAGAAAATGATGCCATTTACAGAGAGTCAAACATTTACTCCGAAAGAGAAGTACTTTAGTCTGCCAGTGGGCCTGTTGGTTTCAGTTGGACTCCTTGTGAAGTCAAATACAAACTCTTACATCACTGGCTTTTAACTGGGGTGCTGTGAGACTCTTTCAAGGGGTGATGCAGCATGGGCACTATCACCACTGCCAGGTAAAAATGCCCTGTATCTCATGCATAGCCAGATTAGGAAGGGCTGATATGCTCCTGCCTCCATTAGGGTTACCCGATTAGCCTAAAATAGGAGTTCCCAGTGCCATTTTTGATCTGACCCTGTACAGCATTTCCTGGAAACAGGCACAAGGGGTAGGTGGTACTGTCCTGTGCACACGTGCTTCTGGGAGGAGTGTGAAGGAGTATGCCGCAGCCCTACCTGGTTTGGCTATGTACAAGGTGTGTTTACCTGGCTGCAGCAGCAGCAGCACTTTAGTTAAGTACCACTGAGATAACCTGAAGCAGCACAGCAGTCAGTCGTCCTCCGCCTGTGTCCTACCAAAAAGTTAAGGAGGGGTGCCCTGACTCCAAAAAGGTTGAAAACGTGTGGCCTACAGGAATCAGTGAATAAATTCCATAGTTTTGTGCCTAAAACCCCTCTGCATTCAGAATTTACATTAACACCAATGGGAATCCTATGAATTCAGATCTTGTGGAACTGAGTTCTCTGTTAATTAAATAAGGTACTCATTAAATAAGGCAGCTTTCCTTTTGTCAGTTCTGTTTGGATGTCCTGCTGAAAGATCTATGCAGTTTAAGGCTTAGAAAAATAGCATATTAAAGTTTGGTGATATTCTTTCTTCAAAATACATTTTTGAAAAGATTACAGTCCTGCTTTATTAAAAGAGGTTCTTTTCAAAATTCAGTCATCCATCTACTGTGTTGGACCCATCTTGGGAAGCTGGCATTGCCATGAAAAGTGGATATAGTCAGGTGCTCTTTCTTGCATAGGATATAGTAACTGCTGCAAGCCAGCAGCAATGATAATCAGGGTAGGTGAAATCTGATAGGAGGACACTACACATACTTTTGTGCTTTCATTCCCTTTTAAAGCCACCAGTACAAAAGAAAAGAGCAGCAGTAAAGCATGAAAGCTCACACATGCTTATAAATATAACATACCTTCTTTTGTATGGTTTCCTCACCTGAACCACACTGATACATGGAAGTTATTTCTCAGTTGTAGCATCAGATTTGTCAGTACCTCTGCAAACCAGATGCCTTTGCCTTAAACCCATACTCCTGTAATATAGGTATCCTTTCTAGACTTACAGGCCAGAATGGTGTCTTTCTTTCCCACTTGTTAGAAAGGGTACTACAATCTATTTTCTATCTTCTGAGAATGATTTTCTCAGTTGATACAGCAGGAGACTAGTTGGTTAAGATTGTGATGCTCTAGATTATGGGTATACCAGAACTATGTTTTTTGTCTTGGGTTGAGAGACCAGCACAATGCAAATTATCAAAGCAAGAAATGAATCTTGTGCACTATAGATGGCTAATCAGTGGCACACATGACAGTGGTGTGGGCAGCTGCTGTGGTGTGGCATGTAAACTCTGGGTGCTCAGTAAAGTAAGGGGCAGACATTGAAAAACCCTGAGCCTGAATTGATTCAATCTTTGCAGGTTAATCTAACCTGCAGAGATTTAACTGATTTGCAAGTGGATAGATATTCACTTTTGATTCAGGCAATGCAGGCACATGCCTACAGTGGCTCAGGCTATAAGCTGGTGGGGGGGTGCTAGAGCAGCCCTCCCTTCCCTTCCATAGCGCTAAGCTGAAGTGGGGGTGTGGCCAGGCCCCAGCAGGACATTATGATTTAATCCCCAACCCTGTCCTATACAGTTCCAGCTGGGGTGTGTCTGGAGATGGAAGAGGAAACAGCCCTCACCAGGCTTCCTCCCCCACTCCACTTCTCCCTCCCTTTCCGCCCCCACTGCTTAAGGGGCAGGAGTGTTGACTGTCCTCGGCCCCTGACTAGCACTCTGAGACAAAGGTGGGGCAGGTGCAGAGGGAGGACTGCTTGTGTGCAGTGCATGAATCTGCTGATGATACTGAGCTTTTCAATCTCCCTCTCCCTGCTTCTTCATATCATCTGCAGTAAACTGACGGCACTCACAGGTCCCATGCATTGCAAACCAGGTCATTTCTCACACCTCTCTCTGTCTCCTCTTGAACACTGTCAGATTGTGGCCTTTCAAGCAAGCCAGCTTATCAGAACACAAAGCTTATCAGCCCATCAAGAAAACAAAAAATGGCACTTTCCAAGGCATTTGTAAAGAAGAATGGAGGGACATTACCAGCTGACCTGCTGATTAATTCCCAAAAGCCCTAAGCGGACATTGTTCTGTCTACCTTTGTTCCAGTGAAATTGGAGACACACACACATAGACACCACTCAGAATTAGCTAGCATGGGGGTGGTATGACCGTGACTAGATTTCAGCTAGGCTCCATGCTGTGGGAGAGGGTAGGGAGGGAGGAGGGATCCCTGCTTGAGCAGCGAGCAGCAAAGGGGGGGTGGGGCAGAGGGAAGCCAGGCAGACGCTGTTGTGCCTGCGGTCTCCACCTTCTTCTCAGCCAGCCAGTGATCCAGCAAGAGAGGAGAGGGGCAGGTCCAGCCCTGTTCCCTGGAGCAGACAGCTCAGCCCAGGGCTAAAAAGCATGCTGGGAGACTCTAATTTAACTTAAACCAGGAGGGGGTCTGGGACACCAGTTCCATAAACCAGTTTGACCCAAATCAGTTAAGTCTGATACTACATTCAACCAGGTTTATCTTAAACCAGTTTCAGCCATTTTGAAACTAGCCCTGCAGTTTCTGCTGAATTCAGGGCTCTGGATCCCTGCATGCCATAAAGAAGTGTGGCAATTGCAGGGTCAGGGAAAAGTTAATCTGGTTCTTGGTAGAGACACCTGCTCTCGCAGCACAATCTCACCACAGCTGCTCTCTGCACAGCTGGATGGTAAATAGAAGTCATTAGTGCCAAAGTTTACACTGTATGGTGTTTCTCCCTCTGGAATTTCAAGTGCCAGTTTGCAGGGTAATTTCTCTGCAAGGCATAACTTAGAAAGCTAAAACTGACCATTGATATCACTGGTCCTCACTCTGACCCATCACTGAGTGATTTGCCATGGCCTAATACTGTACCTTTTTTAAAAAATCACTAAAGAGGACAGTCATTAATGGCTGAAAACCCAGGATTCAGGTTTTTTAAATGAATGAAACCAGCACCTGCCCCTCGCTACACCAAATAGGCCTGCATGATTGTCTTTATGTGACTTCACGTTATGCAGTATTATTGAGAAATCAACTAGAAATAAACAGTGTTTTAGAAGAAGTGTGAAAGGTGGGCATTATCACATTCATTAACAAGGAAACAAGCTAACACAATAGACAGGGATTTTTTTTCCCTTTGAGTTCCATCACTGCTTGGTATGGTGTAATAAATCATCCCTGATTTTTTTCCCCACTTTATTATCAATATTTGTGAACAAATTAGAAGGGAGTTGATTCTTTGTGGGCTATGGCATTCATGTTAATAACAAGACTCTAGAAATTCATTTCTCCAGAGAAAAACCCCAAGTCATTTTGAAAAATATAGAGTAGAATGTTTAATGAAAATGATTATATCGGATGATGTCAAAAACCTGTTTTGACAGTGAGATGCATTGGTTTGCAGTTAGAATACACTTGGTAAATAAAATAGGGTAACTGTTGCAGTCATTTTTTGATAAAAATGCATAACTGTCCAAGAGTGTGGGGCCCAAAATGATTGTGCATGCAACACTGGAGAATGTAATATTGTACTAAAATTCTAAACTACAGCTTAAGGTGACAGTACACAATGACAATGGTAAAGCATACTGCAGGTAGATCTTATCTCCACCTATAAGCCCAACATACAGAATATTTCCTATCAAAATATTTTATAGAAGTTGTGAAGCATAAAAAGATTTACACATGTATTCATCTATCAATTGCAGCATTTATCTGAACTTGTGGGATTCATGGAAGGAACTCTAAAAGCAGCTACTATATTCTATTAAAGAGGGTGTCTGCTCTTCTCATCTCAAAAATTTACTTCATGGTTTAAGTGTCAAATCTTAGGTATTTAGAACCTGTGCATTTCCCTGGGGAAGTATTTAACTGCCACAGTCAAAGCTGTACTGCTGTTATGCAGTCATATTTTATTTAGTTAAGAAAGACATAGCTTGGCCTAACATAATAGAAAAGCAGCACTTTTCTGACAAAAGAGTCGCCATATAGAAGTTGTACAAAAATAATATTTAGTATCCCTAGAACCCATGTGTGCATGCATACATGTGTGTGCTTGTGCACGTGTGCACATGTGAAGTATTGAGTTTGCTGGGACTACTTTTGCAAATAGAAATTAAATTTAG